GCCCTTCTTCCTAGGCAGACTCTAAGGTATTTAGTTTTAGTGTATAAAATCTTAATGACTTAGCTAAGGAGCATTGAATAAACCTTAGCTACAGAGCGACTCAAAGCTGATGCCCAGTTTCATTGCTTTTCACAGTAGAATTGACTAAACTTTCTCTTTTGATCCTGGAAACAAGAGCAGCACTCTGTCTTCCCTAGTTGAACCACTCAAATCAGTACGATAGTAATTTTAGTGATCAGCGTTTTCTTCTCACGTTCCACAGAATGCAGCCTTCCATAAACAGTGATGCAATGCAGAGAACTCCTAGAGGATTAGACTGATTCCTTGTTTTTCTGTAAGTATACACAAACCCCTGCACCATTTAGCTCATTCAAAGCAAGTTCCATTGGGTTCTACAGAGAACTTGGGCACCACCTGCAAACGCAGCTGATTGCGCTTTGCTCGTGTAGATTTGCTGAACACTACTTTCAGACAGCAGACTTAATCAGGGAAAAGAAATTACTCTGGAATTAGCTTCACAGGAAAAGCTGGGTCAAGATTTCATCAATTTTATTGTTTAAGAAAGTTCATAAATGTATCATTTTTCCCTAGCTGACACATCTCTCAGAGTCATATTAATAGTAATGGTGCAGGTTAAATTATTAATAGCTTTATAAGGTAGGCAGGCTTATTGCAATGTGAAATCAGTAAAATAGGTCAGTTACGGAATCTATAGAGTCATCTACTATAATGCAGTAGGTAACCTTCAGATAGATACCCAAGTGTCTTTGATTAAGAGCTTCTCTGTTGTCACTTGTGATAAATGCTGGGGTGTTAATATCAACAAGCTTGTTATTGAAGAGAATATATTCCAAAATAGGAGTTGGATGGTAGCTAGAGAGAGAACACTTTAAGGTTTCAGAAAGAAAAAATTATTTGTCCACAGGAGGGAAGAAAAGAAAGTTAGTTGTAGTAATCCCATTATAAGAAGGTTTTAAACGTAGCACAAGAAAAAAAAATGCATTCATTCTAGGCCTACTAAGTTAAGCAAAGAATGTAACAGGAAAATGGATTTAATATTTGAAGTCTGGAGAGTTCCAGCAGCCCGTGAGATAAATAGGAACCCAATTTATTAAAAAAGATATCCTGTTACAACTAGGACATTTCTTCATTATAATTTTGAGTGGTAAGTGTCTGTAGCATTAATTACTGCAACAGGATGTTATTTACCAAACGTTCCTAATCTTTTAAACAGGTCTGTCTGGGCACATCTGGAAAAGTTCCACAAACTGATAGCTGATTTCTCTTTTATTCCAGAAATAAAGGTAACTTGAATGCTGACAATCACTATACTCGGAAAGTGAGCTGATAGAGCAAAAAAAGATAAAACAAAGAGAGAGGGAGAGAGATTGAGACTGCAGGCAAGTAAGGTTTGAGGACCTGGAGTGATGCCAAAAAAAAGCATTCACAAAGATTTATATTCCAAAACCCTACTCTGTTCAAACATCTACGTACATCTTT